CGGGAATTATACGCAGGAAGGAATACATATGAATGACCTCATAGGGGACAGGAGCCATAGTAGGGAAACAAGTGTAGTCAAAGATAAGATAAAACCAATATTGCAAACTAGAAATACCGCAGGAAATAGCAAACAAGAGGACTCCACTAGCAATAGTGAGGATATATTACCAAAAACAAATGGTGGGAGCTCCATTGTTGGTGCTAGGGAGGATAGAAGTAAGACAGGGAAACATGCACCAACAGGGAATACAGTCACAGAAACCCAAGGCAAACGGAAACCAAGCCTGTGCACATACTATGCACTCGGTATCTGCTGGCATGGGAAATCTGGAAAAAACAGATGGGACGTGCAACTATGACCACCCTAGGAAATGCCATGCCCATATGACAACAGGAAAATGCAAACTCCCTTCCTGTAAGCTTTTTCACCCTGAACTGTGTACCTCTTCAGTACAGGAAGACTGTGCTATAACTTAAATTGCCAGGCATACCATCTAAAGGGGACAAAAAGATACAAAACATCCAGGCCATGGGAAAAACCTGGGTAGCCACAGCCACTCAAGAGGGAGAGGTTTTTTAGTGCCAGGAAGGAAAAAAAAACTGGCAGGAAATGGCAGAATCGTACACCAAATCCAGTCATTCCTGGAGTGGAACCACAGTCGATGGCCTCCACTCCAAACCAACAGATACAGATACTAATGCCGGAAAAAAAAATCCCCCCCCAGTACCAACAATACCACCAGTCCGATAACATTCTTCTTTGCAAATATACAGGGTCTAAAGCCAGCAACAAACAACAAAATACCTTTCATCCGTGGACTGCTTGCAGAGGCAAAGGCAATGTTCGCGGCTTTCACTGAGACCCGCATAAAGGATCACTTGGACAACGAAATATGGATCCCAGGTTACAACCTATACAGATGTGACAGAGTGAACAGGCAAAAGGGGGGGGTTGGCCTGTACATTGCAGAGTCACTTGTTTGCACAGAACTGCTAAATGCCTCAAATGATGTAGTGGAAGTTTTAGCAGTAAAGGTCGAGAACCAAAACCTAGTCATTGTGATAGTCTACAAGCCTCCGGATGCAACATCCCAGCAATTCCAGGAACAGCTGTTAAAAATTGACCACTGTCTGGAAAACCTTCCAGCTCCTGCACCCAACATCTTGCTCCTGGGGGATTTCAACTTAAGGCACCTAAAATGGAGGAATATAGCAAATAATATTGTTGCAGTAATAACACCAGGAGGCAGCTCTGATGAAAAACTCACACTCACGCGAGCTTTTAAATCTCTGCACAAAATTCAATTTAAACCAGCAAATAATAGAGCCTACTAGACTGGAGAATACACTAGACTCATCTTCACTAACAATGATGATCTGATAAGAAATATCACCATATCAAAAACAATATACTCAGATCACAACATAACTGAGGTTCAGTCATGTATGCGCGGGCCCAGACCGACATAATGAGATTAGTCACGAGGGAGCATTCACCAAATTCAACTTCAATAACAAAAACATAAAGTGGGACCAAGTAAACCAAGTCCTAACCGATATAAGCTGGGAAGATATACTAAGCAACACAGACCCCAACTTATGCCTAGAACAGATTAACTCGGTAGCACTCGATGTATGCACAAGGCTTATTCCTCTAAGAAAAAGGAGAGTAGATGTAAAACAGAAAGAGACAGGCGCTCCCTTTACAGGCGACGGAAAAGAATAACAGAGCGGCTAAAAAGAGGTCAATATATCTGAAATGCGTAGGGAGACACTGGTCAGAGAAATAGCAAGCATCGAACTTAAGCTAAAAGAATCCTTTAGGAGTCAGGAATCGCGGGAAGAACTAAAAAGCCATAAATGAAATCGAAAGAAACCCAAAGTATTTCTTCTCCTATGCCAAATCAAAATCGAGAACAACGTCCAGTATTGGACCCCTACTTAAACAAGATGGGTCCTAACACAGATGACAACAAGGAAATGAGTGAGCTACTCAAGTCCCAATATGACTCAGTTTTTAGCAAGCCGCTAACCAGACTGAGAGTCGAAGATCAAAATGAATTTTTATGAGAGAGCCACAAAATTTGATTAACACAAGCCTATCCGATGTTATCCTGACGCCAAATGACTTCGAAACAGGCGATAAATGACATGCCCATTGCACTCTGCCCCAGGGCCAGACTCATGGAACTCTGTGTTCATCAAGAACTGCAAGAAGCCCCTATCACGAGCCTTTTCCATCCTATGGAGAGGGAGCATGGACACGGGGGTCGTCCCACAGTTACTAAAAACAACAGACATAGCCCCACTCCACAAAGGGGGCAGTAAAGCAACAGCAAAGAACTACAGACCAATAGCACTAACATCCCATATCATAAAAATCTTTGAAAGGGTCCTAAGAAGCAAGATCACCACGCATCTAGAAACCCATCAGTTACACAACCCAGGGCAACATGGGTTTAGAACAGGTCGCTCCTGTCTGTCTCAACTATTGGACCACTACGACAAGGTCCTAAATGCACTAGAAGACAAAAGAATGCAGATGTATATATACAGACTTTGCAAAAGCCTTCGACAAGTGTGACCATGGCGTAATAGCGCACAAAATGCGTGCTAAAGGAATAACAGGAAAAGTCGGTCGATGGATCTATAATTTCCTCACTAACAGAACACAGAGAGTAGTCGTCAACAGAGTAAAGTCCGAGGCAGCTACGGTGAAAAGCTCTGTTCCACAAGGCACAGTACTCGCTCCCATCTTGTTCCTCATCCTTATATCCGACATAGACAAGGATGTCAGCCACAGCACCGTGTCTTCCTTTGCAGATGACACCCGAATCTGCATGACAGTGTCTTCCATTGCAGACACTGCAAAGCTCCAGGCAGACATCAACCAAATCTTTCAGGGGCTGCAGAAAACAATATGAAGTTCAACGATGAGAAATTTCAATTACTCAGATATGGTAAACATGAGGAAATTAAATCTTCATCAGAGTACAAAACAAATTCTGGCCACAAAATAGAGCGAAACACCAACGTCAAAGACCTGGGAGTGATCATGTCGGAGGATCTCACCTTCAAGGACCATAACATTGTATCAATCGCATCTGCTAGAAAAATGACAGGATGGATAATGAGAACCTTCAAAACTAGGGAGGCAAGCCCATGATGACACTCTTCAGGTCACTTGTTTTATCTAGGCTGGAATATTGCTGCACACTAACAGCACCTTCAAGGCAGGTGAAATTGCCGACCTAGAAAATGTACAGAGAACTTTCACGGCGCGCATAACGGAGATAAAACACCTCAATTATTGGGAGCGCTTGAGGTTCCTAAACCTGTATTCCCTGGAATGCAGGAGGAGGAGATACATGATTATATACACCTGGAAAATCCTAGAGGGACTAGTACCGAACTTGCACACGAAAATCACCCACTACGAAAGCAAAAGACTTGGCAGACGATGCACCATCCCCCCAATGAAAGCAGGGTGTCACTAGCACGTTAAGAGACCATACAATAAGTGTCAGGGGCCCGAAACTGTTCAACTCCCTCCCAGCACACATAAGGGGGATTACCAACAACCCCTAAAAAAGCTTCAAGCTTCACGGGAAACAAGCACCAAAAGCCCGTTCCGGATCAGCCGGCTGGGGCTCGTATTTTGGGTTTTTGCGTGCAGCCAGCGGGAAAACACCCTGTTGACGGGCCCTTTGACCCACCGGGGGCCTGGTCCAGACCGGGCCGCGGGGGCGTTAAACCCCCGGAACTCTCCCCAGGAAACTCTCCAGGTATACATGAAACTGAACAATGTTTTTACGATGTTTTATTCTTTTTCTTTACGTATAATTTGTATTTTTGGGTTTTAAATGGGTTTTTTTTTGGGAAAATGCAAGGGGGGGGGACATGCAAGGGGGGGGGTTGAGGCTTCAAAAAACGTTTTGGGGTTGGTGATAATTTTTTGGATAGGTGTCTTTTCCCGTAGTGAAATACTTATGAGTTCTACAAAGCCTTTTTTTGTTTAGCAATTTACCCCTTGTTAGTACAACGTTCAGGGGCCCCGGGTCGTTTAAAACACTTTTTTGGGCAAGCATGAAAAACTGTTATATTAAATTTATATATGTCCCAAAATTCCGGGGGCTTTTGGTAAACCTGTTTTTTATTTAAATAGGGGTAAAATAGGGGGGAAAAGGGGGGTGTTTTGGAAAACCACACGGGGTTTTTGTGGTTTAATTTGGCGATGGAAGGTTATCACTCAATTGCCGATAGGTCCCTTTTATTTTATTTTTTAATGTCGTTCTGTTTTTAAAAAAAATCTTGCTTAACATGGTGCATGGGATATTAACTTTGGGGATGAGGGGAAAGTTTGTGTCAGCAAAAATTTTAAAACCCCTGTTGCTTTTGACAATGAAATTTAAAAATTCTGTGTAAGAATTTTACTATGTTCTTTTTTTATTTAAAGTATTTTAAATTTTTTTTGAAAAAAAAAATAAAAAAAAAAAAAAAAAAAAAAAAAACCACATCTAAAATTTTTCCTGTTTTTTTAGGGGAATCAAGGCCTTGTCACAATGGTCCAGCAGTTTTCAAAGGCAGGAGGGACCTGTTTTGAACCCATGTTGGCCTAGGTTGTGCAACTGTTACGATTCCATTCTTTTACCATTGCTTTACTTCCACTTTTGTGGAGTGAAATAATATCAGTGGGTGTTAATGACAGTGGGATGACTCCAGTGTCTAGCTTTTTTCTTCACTGAATATTTAAGGCAGGTGATAAGGGTATCTTGCAAGTCTTGATGAATGTGGAGTTTCATGAGTCTGGGTCTGGGGCAGAGTGTAGGGCATGCAATCATTGGCTTTTTCGACGTCAAATGGGGTTAGTTGTATCAGATTAGAGTGGGTGGGCATGGCTCACCTGTGGGTGGGTGGGTGAGCGTGGGCAACACAGGGCAGGACCATTGGATGGGTGGGTGTAGCCTATTTGTACTCCGGGGGTGGGTGACCGTGGGTAACACAGGGCACGACCATGGGGGTGTGTGGCTCACCTGTACTCCGGGGGTGGGTGAGCGTGGGCAACACATGGCAGGACCATGGGCTGGGTATCCGAAAGCTTGACAGTAGTGGATTTAGTGACCATCCTGGGCGCCTGTTTCTCTCTTGGGTCTGTAAATGGAGAGGAGACATACCATTTAACTTTCTATGATGTGATCATATCTCTTCTAATTATATTTAACTAACAAGTATGTAATATGCAGTGTGTCTGACTCGATTAGCAAACTGAGGATCGAACTTCCACTATTCATTGCACTGAGTGACCAACGCCGATTTAAAGCAATAATGACATCGAGTAGCCACGTGTCCTTGATGCTAATGCTACTTTTGAAGATGATGATAATACCTTCCTTAGTACAATATACAGTAAACCCACCATTCCTGAATTAAGTTTACAGTTTGTATCCTTTATACCAACCTTTTGTATTATCATGATATTGGTAGATAAAACTAAGGCCAGATAACATGTACAATCTTGTCTATGAGCTTCCAAACTACAAATAACCACTGAAAGTTTCCCAGTAAACCTCATTCTTCGCCTATATATACTATCATTTTAGCCTGTGTGTTAGAAGTGATAAAGGTCCCAGACCGATACGTTTTCTAATGTCCCAGTGTTCGTTTACTTGTCTTTTTAAAACCAATTTGTCGGTATCCATTATCAAGATTTATACCACAGGTTTGGACCTTTTTAAAAATAGGTGCCTTTGATATTCTTCATCCATTTTCATATTAGATTACCAATTTGTTTTTTAATTCAGTTATCCACAGATACTTTGAGGTGTCATGTTTATGAGAGTAAATGGCGACGTTTCTCTTCTCAACCATTGCTGCATGTCTCAACCGTGTCATGACATGCTGTGCGAAAAAAACAAAACCATGCGAGCCCCTAGATGCCCAGCAGCTAGGTTAAACTCTGGATCTTTCCTCTCCTCCTAGTGACACTCCGCTCAAAAGTCTATCCTATCTTCCGAACTCAACCACACAAAGATCTTTGCATAAGTCAGTTAGTGTGTCAGGACATTAATCTCTCTGAGAAAGTAAGCAGATAGCTCTTCAGTTTAGTTTCCAAGCTGGTGTTTCAAAATAGTTGGATTGAATTAGATTTAGGCTTAGTATGCCTTTTTCTCGACTTTTATTGAAGGAATTGTGATAATAATAATAATAATAATAATAATAAGACACGCTGTCTGGTGGCTCTCAGGTGCTTACATTTTAGGCCCAACGTGATGTTTTCTAAATTTTTATGAAGCAGACTGAGAAAACAAGAAAATTGCTTCGGTCACTTGACCAAGGTTCTACTGAGCAGTTATCACATGACTGGCACTAGAGTCAACAAGACCTCTCGACTGACCGTGAACGATGATCCTGGCGGTGTTGGAGGCGGCGGTGGTGGAGGTGAGGGTGTGTAGCACACGACAGCGGTACGTAGCGTAGGAATCTGCTGCCTTAACATCATGTACCAGAAGACGACCGTCCAGCAGTGCGTGGTACTTGCCATCTGTCAACAACACAAACAATACAGTTAAGCGAAGCATCCAACGATTAGTAACACACAAGTGCAAATATCTGGACTGATTACTGTCGAAACGTTTCACCTGCAGAGCAGGCGTCATCAGTCGAATACAGACTAGCATAACACTAGAGATAGCAGAAATGGAGAGGAAATTTTGAGGTAATCAGTCCCTCAGCGTTGATAAAAAGTACACAGTCCGTTAACTTCACCTCAAAACAACCTCTCACTTCTCTACTGTTGCCAGTGTGTTATTTTTGCCAGCATTAAATTAAAGAAACCTGCTGAGCAGGGTGACAGTATCCGCAATACAGACACCCAAGTGTTGCACATGTGTCTTACTCAGTAACTTGTTGGTTTTGTGATACATAAGATACTTGTGCAATATTTCGGTATCTTTATTCTGGAATCGCTTAGCCAGCCAGTGGCTTCTTCAGTCGAATTCAGATTATTATTATTATAATCAAGGGGGAAGCACTAAACCCGTAGGATTATACAGCGCCTATGGGGGGATGGAAGGCATTCAGGCTTAATTCAGGGAACTGGAGCACAGATCCAATTCCCTAGATCAAGAGCCCCTCACCAGCGTCAAGGAGCCTTCCTTGAGGGGAGTCGAATTCAGAGAAAGGGGGAAAAATGAAGAGGAGTTTGAGGTAATCAATCCCCCAGCCTCTTCAGCATATTCGCGGAGATGGAGGTTATATACTTATATACCATTTAGTAACTTAAAGTATCTAGAGATATTACAGCCAAGGCAGCGGAAGGTCTCGGTCTCAGGACCACATGGTCCAGCCAGGGGTCGTCGTACAGAACCGCGCCAGGAGGCGATAGACATGTTTCCTGACGCGTCCCAGCTGACAGTCACTACCGTAGGTGGAGTAACCTGGTTATAACCACAGTCCTCTCGCTTTCCCCTTTGTTAGTTGACATAAATGAAAGCACTATATGCATATAAACATAAGAGGGCTCTCGATCCAAGGAAGTAGACCAGTATTAACTGTCTTTGGAATGAACGTGATTGGTTTCCATTCCACCCGGCGCTGTATGGCCCTTACAGGTTTAGCTCTCCCTTCCTTTGAATGTTTTAGTAGTAGTAGTAACAATAATAATAATAATAATAATAAGAATCATATTACTGAATGGCCTACAGAGGTTTGGTGCTTCCTTAATAATAATAATAATAATTATTATTATTATTATTATTATTATTATTATTATTATTATTATTATTATTAAGGAAGCACCAAACCTCTGTAGGCCATTCAGTAATATGATTCTTATTATTATTATTATTATTATTATTATTATTATCAATAAAAATAAAACGCAAAATATATACACTGTGATGTGTATGTATGTCTATGTATGTATACACTGAGTGTTCATTTAAGAGACAGTCTAAAATACAATACAGTGTGATCATATCCTGATGAGGGTAAACACTGGTACAGAGTCACTGGTGAGCTGCAGAAACAGTCAACGAGAAAACAATATTCAGTAACTTTGACTTCAACAATCGGAGATTTGATTGGGATAAACTAAACAAAGAATAAACATTCCCTGATAAACAGCCTTGAGGGACCTACATCCACGTCACTTGATAAGTTGAATACAGAAACATGTTAAGCAGAGATTCTCAACATTTCCTCCATTATTAACCCCTTCGGCTTGATGCATTTCTCTATTTACCCCCTTAATTCCATACAAAAAATTTATCGCCATCATAAAGGGACAGAAAAACAAGGTCAGAAAAAATAAATTATTCAGGTTTTGCACAGAAATAACACACAAATATTTACCCCTTGCCATATAATTTTTTACCCTCAAGAGGTAAATTTACCCCTGGGTGAGAATCACTAATTATAAAGCGTCTGAAATATGTGCTGCTGAGAAAGGCTACAAGAAGTTCAAAGAGAAAAAGAGAACTTAGAAGAATTTACTGATGAAAGAGTGTTGTTGATGTGATTTATTGAAAAGGAGATAATGTTACCAGGAAGTAAACATAATCGTTGGAACAGAAACTTCAACATTTGTGACAGACAGAAGAAGCGAAAACTAAACAAAAACAAAAACGTCTCCAAGGAAACGGAAAAATAGTCATCACATACACGAAATTCAAGTCATGAACCACCTGTAAAAATCGTCCATTAATCACAGAAGGTTATAACACTGTAGGCAAAAAGTCATGAGTGATGAGGCAATGTTCAACAGTCCACTAAACCAAAACAAAGTGGGAATACAGAATTTTCATTACCTCAGCTTGCACTACAAATCGTAACTAACATCAGCACCGACTCCCATAGTGCCGACTCCCTAGGTACAGTATGCCTAGGCATACTGCACCTAGGCCGCATTCATGGGGGTTTATTTATAAAAAAGTGCAAATTACCACCAGCACAGGGACCCAGTAATCGAAGGAGAAAGTTTAGATATAGGTGAAAATCCACAGCCCTTAGAAAACCGTGCGGATATCGCTCCTCTGCAACACACGCAGCAGTAGAGCGCAGGCAAAATATAAAAAAAAATAAATTCCGGAAGAACTAACATCACACATAGAAAACTTTGGACCAAAACGTCTAGCCTTAGCTGGGCGCCAAAGTATGGGACCAGTGTGGTACGGTGAGTATAGCACTGCGTATTTTGTCCCAAGGTTCGTAGGTTCGAGTCTCCTTCGGCCTGAGATTATTGTTGTTAGAAGAGCAGAGTATATGGAGAGTAAAATAAAGGTGAAGAGAGTGGTGAGAGAGTGCAAAAGGAGAGCAGATGATCGAGTGGGAGAGGCACTGTCAAGAAATTTTGCTGAAATTAAGAAAAAAATTCTGGAGTGAGATAAACAAGATAAGAAAGCCTAGGGAACGACTGGATTTGTCAGTTAAAAACAGAGTAGTGGAGTTAGTAGATGGGGAGATGGAGGTATTGGGTAGATGGCGGGAATATTTTGAGGAACTTTTAAATGTCGACGAAGAAAGGGAAGAGGTAATTTCATGCACTGGCCAGGGAGGCATACCATCTTTTAGGAGCGAAGAAGAGAAGGATGTGAGTGTGGGAGAGGTGCGTGAGGCATTACATAGAATAAAAGGGGGTAACTAATGGGATCATGACAGAAATGCTAGAAGCAGAGGGGGATGTAGTGATGGATTGGTTGGTATTTTTGTTTAATAAATATATGAAAGAGGGGAAGGGCCCTAGGGATTGGCAGAGAGCGTGTATAGTTTCCTTTATATAAAGGGAAAGGGGACAAAAGAGACTGTAAAAATTATAGAGGAATAATTTTACTGAGTATACCAGGTAAAGTGAACGGTAGGGTTATTATTGGAAGAATTAGAGGAAGACTGAGAGTAGGATTGCGGATGAGCAAGGAGGTTTTAGAGTGGGTAGGGGATGTGTAGATCAAGTGTTTACATTGAAGCATATATGTGAACAGTATTTAGATAAAGGTAGGGAAGTTTTCATAGTATGTATGGATTTAGAAAAGGCATATGATAGAATGGATAGGGGAGCAATGTGGCAGATGTTGCAAGTGTATGCAATAGGTAGTAAGTTACTAAATGCTGTAAAGAGTTTTTATAAGGATAGTGAGGATCAGGTTAGGGTGTGGAAGCGAGAGGGAGACTACTTCCCGGTAAAAGTAGATCTTAGACAGGGGTGTGTAATGTCACCATGATTGTTTAATATATTTATATATGGGGTTGTAAAAGAAGTAACTGCTAGGGTGTTCGGGAGAGGGGTGGGATTAAATTACGAGGAATCAAGTATAAGATGGGAGTTAACACAGTTATTTTTTGCTGATGATACTGTGCTTATGCGAGATTTTAAAGAAAAGTTGCAAAGATTAGTGCACGAGTTTGGGAGTGTGTGTAAACGTAGAAAGTTGAAAGTGAATGAAGATAAGAGTAAGATGATGAGGGTAACAAATGATTTAGATAAAGAAAAACTGGATATCACATTGGAGAGGAGGAGTATGGAAGAAGTCAATGTTTTCATATATTTGGGAGTTGACGTGTCAGCGGATGGATTTATGAAGGATGAGGTTAACCATAGAAATGATGAAGGAAAAAAGGTGAGTGGTGCATTGAAGTATATATGGAGACAAAAAAAGTTATCTATGGAGGCAAAGAATGGAATATATGAAAGCATAGTGGTACCAACACCCTTATATGGGTGTGAAGCTTGGGTTGTAAATGCTGCAGCGAGGAGACGGTTGGAGGCGGTGGAGATGCCCTGTCTAAGGGCAATGTGTGGTGTAAATATTATGCAGAGAATTCGGAGTGTGGAAATTAGGAGCAGGTGTGGCGTCACTAAAAGTTTTAGTCAGAGGGCTGAAGAGAGGTTGTTGAGGTGGTTTGGTCATTTAGAGAGAATAGATCAAAGTAGAATGACTTGGAGAGCGTATAAATCTGTAGGGACAGGAAGGAGGGGTAGAGATCGTCCTCAAAAAGGTTGGAGGGAAGGGGTAAGGGAGGTTTTGTGGGCGTGTGTGTGTGTGTTAGATAGGAGTGAATGAAGACGAATGGTTTTTAGGACAAAGGGATTTAAGAAAACCGGTTAGCCGGACTTGGGTGCTTTAAATGGGAACTATATTGCCAGCGCTTTAAAGGAGGGGTTTAGGATAGTGACAGTTTGGAGGGACTTCTACACTGTCGTATCTGAGCCCCTCTGCAAAGACAGTGATTATGTACGAGTGAGGTGAAAGTGTTGAACGATGATGAAAGTATTTTCTTTATGGGAATTCTCTTTCTTTTTGGGTCACCCTGCCTCGGTGGGAGACGGCCGACTTGTTGAATATATATATATATATATATATATATATATATATATATATATATATATATATATATATATATATATATATATAATTTCAATAAGTCGGCCGTCTCCCACCTAGGCAGGGTGACCCAAAAAGAAAGAAAATCCCCAAAAAGAAAATACTTTCATCATCATTCAACACTTTCACCTCACTCACACATAATCATTGTTTTTGCAGAGGTGCTCATAACACAACAGTTTAGAAGCATATACGTAGTATAAAGATGCACAACATATCTCTCCAAACTGCTAATATCCCGAACCCCTCCTTTAGAGTGTGGGCATTGTACTTCCCATTTCCAGGACTCAAGTCCGGCTATATAAAAATAAACGGTTTCCCTGAATCCCTTCACTAAATATTACCCTGCTCACACTCCAACAGATCGTCAGGTCCCAAATATCATTCGTCTCCATTCACTTCTATCGAACACGTTCATGTATATATATATATATATATATATATATATATATATTATATATATATATATATATATATATATTATATATATATATATATATATAATGTCGTGCCGAATATGTAAAACTGGTCAAATAGCAAGAACTCATTTAAAATTAAGTTCTTTCTGAAATTTTCTCATAAACGTTTAAAGATATATTTTTTTCATTAATGTTAATGTAAAAATTTATAATTTTGCACCAAAAGAATCTTAGAAAACTTACCTAACCTTATTATAACAAGCGCAATTTATTTTAGCCTAACCCAACTAAATATATTTTAGATTTGTTTACAATAATTTAATACTAAACAAACACAGTGAAATATATTTTTTTCGATAGGTTCAGAAGGATTTTGGCGAAATTATTGCATACACAAATTTTCGTTTGTCCTATATGGCAAGATGAGCGTTGCTATTTAAGCCAAGATCGCAAGTTCTGCCTATTCGGCACGACATATATATATATAATATATATATATATAATATATATATATATATATATATATATATATATATATATATATATATATAAATATATATATTCATAATATATATATGGAAGTACCACCTC